GGAAGGAAGGAAGGAAGGAAGGAAGGAAGGAAGGAAGGAAGGAAGGAAGGAAGGCTTAAGCCTGCAGTGAAAGGGGAGAAGGAGAAAGGAACAGTCGAGAAAACACCCTTGGAGAGCTAAGAGGATTGATGACTGTCTATCTAAATGACTCTGTTGCGCATCACCTTCCGCCACACCAAGATGCAGAAATGTAGGACAAAAGTCAACTCCTCTCTGAGTGAGTCAGGGCTTATGGGATTTGCATCAGCTGACCTTCTTGGCAAGCAAACCAGGCCAGTGAAATATAATGTGCTTAAATATAATTAGTAATAACATTCACAATTTGTCCAATATGAACCACATGTTGGCATCTTTTCCTCGATCCTCTCAGGAGCCTTTACTGATAGGTAGCATCATCCCAGATGATGAGGGATAATATCATTGTTCCCCAGACCCAGAGCAACAAAATGGGAACTTAAAAAAAAAAATGTGTAGAGGTTAAGGATATAGCTTATTTAGTAGAGTGTTTGCCCGGCACATCCCAGGTTCTGGGATCTCGTAAACTAGGCACAGCTGCACACACCTGTAATGCCTGTACACAAGACAGAAAAGCAGGAGTTCAAGGTCATCCTCAGCCTTACCTGAGTCCAGCTCAGGATGAGATCCTGTTTCAAAAAAAACAAAAATTGTGCACAGTGACCACTGAGCCAGAAAAAAACCAAGACCCAGAGGTAACTTGTCTTGCTTCTAAGTACCAGAGCCAGAATGCAGATCCAAGACTGTCTGACTATTGTGCTATGTGAGCCACTCACTTTGCTTTGTGAAGGAGTTTTAGACGACTGAGACACCCCAATATCAAAGCATTTACCAGAGAGAATGATATATCCTCATGCTGAAATTAACAGAGATCAGCAAGGGCCCCCTGTAAGTGCAGACAGGCTGGGTCTCAGACCTCATCAGGTAGAGAATACCCCCCTAGGGGTTGTTTGATTGGTCCTTGGATTAGGACTCTGTGGCTCAGACCTCACTGTCTCACAGGTACCCCAAGTGCTGTCCTACCCCACCCCCACCTTCAACAACCAAGACAAGAGAATCAGCCTTTCTGGGGTCAGGAGCAAGGTTTTGCTTTTACTCAGCAACAATACTCTCTGTATTCCTGAAGCACTTCCTAGGAGACCTCGTAACTTTTTCAGGGGTACCTACCCTTGAGGAGAGGCTAAGCTATTCACTCTTAGGATCTGTCCCCTAGTGTGTAGCAGAGCCATGGCCAGAGGATGATCAGACTCTTAACCGCCTTTCACTGGAGACTATTTGGAAAATGAAAAAACAAGCATGAAGAAGAATATTAAAATCATCTGTAGCCCAGGCTGGCTTTAAACGTCTCTGTCGCTGAGGAGGACACTGAACCCATGATCCTCAACTCCCCACCTCCCACGGGCTGGAATTACAGGTGTATGACGCACTGGGTTCCCTGTTAGTATCTCTGTACTTTTCTTCTGGGCCATCTTCAGTTTCTTTTACAGAAACAGGACCCTGCTGTCCATGCTCTGTCACTTCCCTGTTCGCACTCCGCTTTGGTTCTGCTTGGCTCACACTAACTGCTACCTCGTCCTGTCCTCCTAGTGTCCGTTCCTGTGAACAGTTCCGTCAGTGCCGTGATTCTGAGAGCAGTGAACCAGAACAACCACACGGTGGGCTCCTGGGCTGGACCAGATCAGCAGTGCAACACCAGTGTCCTCTATCGAGTGACATCCTCAGACAACTCCAACTTCCAGGCAACCTGGATAGCTCCTGATTCTGAGGATGTGACCAAAATCAACCTGCAGTAAGGACTGATCATATTTCACTTGGGGCTTTTGAATTTTCTTTAATAACAGGTTTATACAGATTCACATTAACTAGGACTAAAATTAGACTGTGGATGTGAGAGGAGAACCCAGCAGCGTCGCTTCTTGTCTGCCTCACCTTCCCTTGCATGCACATGCATGTACACACACATATACACACACACACACACACACACACACACACACACACACACACATGCCACACCCCAATGCACAGTGCCCAATATAATCAGGAAGACTGGGATACTCTTTCTAGTTCTCCATATTCAAACTGGTGAATTTTTTTTAATCTTTTGTTAACATACAAAATAATAGATTTCATTATGACATTTTCATCATGTATATCATTGTACTTTGCTCCTATTCACCCTCATTACCTTCTCTTGTTCCCCCTTCCCTTCAGTTACCTTCCTTCCTGCAGATAGTCCCCTTCCACTTTCACACACACACACACACACACACACACACACACACACGATAGAAAGAAAGAAAGAAAGAAAGAAAGAAAGAAAGAAAGAAAGAAAGAAAGAAAGAAAGAAAGAGAAAGAGAGAGAGAAAGAAAGAAAGAAAGAAAGAGAGAAAGAAAGAAAGAGAGAAAGAAAGAAATCTAGTGGAGAATCATTTATAAAACACACTCACTCAGCCAGGCGGTGGTGGCGTACGCCTTTATTCCCAGCACTCGGGAGGCAGAGGCAGGCGAATCTCTGTGAGTTCGAGGCCAGCCTGGACTACCAAGTGAGTTCCAGGAAAGGCACAAAGCTACACAGAGAAACCCTGTCTCGAAAAACCAAAAAAAAAAAAAAAAAAAACAAAACACTCATTTTGGAAATGTGCAAATGAGAGAAAGTGCAACAGTGAGTAATAACAGTATTTTCCTTCTGTTATATAAAAAATGGATGCCCTGAGGCTCTAAGAAGTCACCTGGAGGCTGGCATTATTCTTTCACAACAGATGCCTCTCACTCTGAGGGCATGGTGTGACATCGGCTTCGGAAGCCAAGTGTTGTGAAGAACGCAGTGTTCCTGAAAGGGCAGCCATGGCGTGTTGTGTCCACTGTCAGCACCTTGGTCTCTGTGGAAGCTGGTGACACTGTTGTGCCCACAGAGTGATAAATGAAAGCAGAATCCAAAGGGAGCCATTACTACCAATCCCACCATGGCAACAGTTGCTTAGAAGCCAGCTAGTTCTACTTAGAGTAAGGACCTTGACCACACTCGGTGCACCAGCTGTGACACAGCAGTGACAATCTGCAGGAGAAACAGCAGAGGCCCACAGACAGTGCAGTCTCCATCCTCACTTGCACATTTACTACGATGCACTAGTCTCTCTGCTTGTTCATAATGTACACACTCATGATCAGCAAGACTGACTCAAGGGGAGGGAGACACAAGGAATACCACCATGGGGGCACACGATGCTGATTAGGGTCCAAAGGGGATGACAACGGTCTTGGCCTGTGGGATTTACAGTGAACCTGGGAAACAGGACCCACACACGTGTTAGTACTGAGGTGAAATTCTTCCTCTGCTTTCCCCGAACATGTAGATTCAGAAAGAGCTCTGTTACACACTCTCCAGCCTTCCTCTACTTCATCACACACATCATAACTACAACTGACTCCTTAACTAATTATCTGGCTATTCACTGAAATCTGTCTCTGAAGACACAATAAACGCCATGAGCATAAGAGCCAGGACTGGTGGGTTCACTGTTGTCTGCTCACACCAAGCACAGTGACTGGTATACAGACTGTATCCTTTCATTGGTGACCTGCTGAATGTATAGACAAAGGGCCAATGTTATAGTAGACCCACTGATTTAATAACAACAGGATGAGCTCTGAGGATCATTTAATGAACATTAAGAACTCCAGTATGGCAGACATTATTCACAACAGAGCCTGCCCTCCGGAAGTCAGCCCTCTAGTGGGTAGAAAAGCTCATAGCAATTCATCGTTAACAAAAGGTGGGAGATGTGTCAGGGTTAACCAGAGGGAGACTGGACTTGAAGGATATCCTTGAGTTTCTGGACAGATATGACCAGGGAAGTTATTACAGACAAAGAGATTCTCTTGAACAAGGGACAAATATGTGTACCAGCCTGTGGGGAGTTCCTAATGATGAAGCTGGTGGGGATGGGAGATGGGAGAGCTGTTTAGAGTTAAGACCCTAGAGGAGTTCAGTCAAGTCAACATGAACTAGGTCAATATTTAATGATCAGCTTATTGTGCCATATAAAAAGTATGCTCAAAAGAGATTAACAGGATGGGGTGGTTCAGAAAGGCTAAGATGTAGCTTGTGAGTTTCACAGACAAGATCCTCACCATTTCTCTCACTGATTTGCCCTCCAGAGTCTTCATCGTCACTGCCAATCGCACAGCTACGATGTCATCTGTGAGACTGGAACAGATAAGTGAGTTCTGTTGCAAACGCTTTGTATATTTACCGATAAACGCAAGCAGTCTGGAAAATTATTTTACCCAAGTATCAGTTGAGTTTCCCACCACCCTCATACCTAATGTGAGATTTTTCCCAACCTTTTGTTTTATGCCATGTGGAAAAACAAAAGCCCTCTCCAAGATTTGTGCAACTTTTCAGAAATCCCCATGGTCACCCGGGGTTCCAAACCCTTCTTTCAACAGGGACTACTTCTGTTCAGTACTAGATAGGCACCAATCTGAAAAAGCAACATTATTCTCAGTGTCCACCCAGAACCTGAAACCCCACTCACAAAGGCTTTCACAGGGTCCACCTTTAATCAAGCAGTTTTTAAGGGAATTATGCAGGGTGTGGGATTGAAAGGCACTAGTTATACAAAAAGAGCTGGTATCACAAAAATGACAATAATGTCATAAGTTCTTGTCAACTTGCTTTTTGTTTTTGTTTTCTTTTGCAAAAGGTAGATTGACCCTAGTACCTTGGCACAAACTAAGAAAGTACATGATTGCTAAGCTGCATCCTGACCCTTTCACGGGTTTTCTTTCTATTCCGTGTGTGTGTGTGTGTGTGTGTGTGTGTGTGTGTGTGTGTGTGCGCGCGCGCGCGCGCAGACACACAATGTGCTTAGGAAACTAAAGCTCACCAAGTACAAAAATCCATATTCACAAACATGCATACATGTTCATGCATGTATTCATGCTTATGGAGGTCAATGGTCATCCTCACCTTGTTTTTTGAGACAGGGTCTCTCGCTGGCCTGGGACTCACAAAGTAGGATGGTTGGCCAGTTATTCTAGGAGTCTGCCTTCTTGGCCTCTCTGGTGCTGTGATTACAAACATGTGCCACCACACCTGGAATTTTCACAAGGGATTGAGGAGATCAAACTCAGGTCCTCACAACTGAGCAAAAGGACTTTACTAAGTCATTTCCACAGCCCTTTCACGAGTTCCCAACAGGCTCAGCCACTCTTGCCACCACCAGGAATTTCCACCAGCCTTCCACAGGGTGCAGACCCCAGGCTCACACTTTCCCGGGCTCCTCATCCTTCCTCTGTTCCCTTTTCTCGTATTTCCCTGTAAGAAGCCAAAGCATCTAAGTTTCAGGAAGGATAGTCAACTTCCCTAAGGACACAGAGAATGTCCAGAGCAGAGTGAGGACTCCAATTCTACATCTTACACCTTTTTCTACTTTTCTTAGACTTAGGTTAAAACTAAAGAGATCATTTCAATACAGTTTTTTTTAGTCTAAGGTTCAGTCAAGAGCATGTGTGAGGCCTTGGATTCAAATCTCCAGCGTGGGGGGTGTTGTGGGGGGGGAGAGCAACAAGAACTGTTAGTCTCTCTCAATGTCCAAATAGCAGGCCTTCCTTTTGAGTCCCAGAGCACTGAAAGACACACAACACAGCATGTGGCTGGTTTTTCTTTAGGTTATCTACTACCAAATGCACCCATGGAACAGTTATTTCCAACAACAAGTTTTAATGTGCTTATGCCTAATCAAACTATTATATGACAGTATTAACTTTTTCCTGGGTGGCTTTCCCTCTCTGAGGTTATTTTCTCCCTCAAGGACATTTTTGAGGAAAACACTTGCAGAAATGCTAATGGAGGGGGAAATGTTTATTTCTAATCAGGACCCCTTAGCTCTATCCTAACAAAATACAGTTTAAAAATCAGGGGAAAGTTCTGGAGTGGTGGTGTACACCCGAGTTCCCAGCAGTTAGGAGGCTAAGGCCAAAAGGTCACCATTTCAAGGCCAACCTGGGCTATACACAGAGCAAGACGCTTGTCCCAAACCAAACCAGGGAATGACAGAAAAGGGGAAGACCATGACTGTGCTCTGCTCTTCAGCTGCATGGAATGTCCTGGAGAAATGCTGGAGAGAGAAGACACCGTCTCAGAGCAGGAGGGCATCCACCAGGCAGGCAGAGGAGGCCTGGGCCTGGGCCATTTTCCTTCTCTTGTTGCCAAGTTCTAAAGGGGAAGAAAGTAAAATGGGCAGTGGGCGGGGGGAGTGTGTGCACATGGGGAGGACAGGGGAGGGCGTCCTCTGCCTTCCTCTGTGGCTTTCTTTCTTATGACTAGAGATAGGGCTCTCACTGAACCTAGAGCTTCCCATTTTCAGTTACGCTGTTGGCCAACAGGTCCCGGCAATCCTGTCTCTGCCCTTTCCTGTAAGTGCCCTTCTACCCACTCCCAGCTAAGGGTGAGACACCCTTGAAGTGTCTGAGCTCCAAGCTCCAGGTTTTCTGGCATCAGACAAGTCCCAAGGAGTGCAGGCCTGGCTCTCTTTGCTTCTCTAAGAGATAATCGCTGAGAACCAGTGTCCGGCCAGAACCTGCAAGAGAAAATGGCCTGTGGCTTGCTAGCCGGAGAAATAAAGTCAAGGATAGGGTATCTCTATATACCTGTCTAGATAGGGTATCCCCCACTAACGTTAAGGCAGAGGTCACAGTTCTTGGGTCTACATGAATCTGAGTTCTCACAAGGCCTTGGAATTAGCAAGAAAATCATAAAATTGTACTACATTGGGTCATGTTTGCACTAGAGTTAAGAGTATGAAGATATTTGAGAGCACACTACCCAACCAATGACAAGTTCATATGTTTTATAAATTCTGTGGGTCTCCTCATCTCAATAGACTATGTGGGTGCTGGAGAGATAGCTCAGCTCAGCAGCTAAAAACACTGGTTGCTATCCCAGAAGTCCCAGGTTCAATTCCCAGCACCCACGTGGCCCTCACAACTCTCTGTAACTCCAGTCCCAGGAAATCTGATAGCCTCTTCTAGCCTGGAGGGCACTATATGTGATGCACAGACACACATGCAGGCAGAACTATACACGTTTGAAAAACAAATAAGCAAAATAAAATGCAGGAGAAAAGACCATGCAGATCTTAAGGATAGAGGCTTAGGGGGTTTGGTTGTTTGGTTTTTTGAGACAGTAGCTTTGGAGCCTTTCCTGGAACTCACTCTGTAGCCCAGGCTGTCCTTGAACTCACAGAGATCCCCCTGCCTCTGCCTCCTGAGTGCTGGGATTAAAAGCGTGCGGTGCCACCACCCATCTGAGGCTTAGTTATTTTTATTACTTAGCAGTCTGAACCTTCTAGCTGCCTACAGCTCCCTTTCCCACAAGGCACTGGAGAAGTAGTGATTGACTTTTGCTCATGATCTCTGGCTTTACTGTCTTGAAAAAATATATATAGTTTAGTATTGTGTGTGTATGAAGGTCAGAGGACAGCATTTTAAGATCAGTTCTCTTCTTCAGCCTTTACGTTTAATTGAACTCATGACAAGTGCCTTTACCAGCTTAGCCATCTTGCCAGCCTTTTTCTAGTGCCTACCCACCTCCCAACAAAGGTCTAAGAACACTGTTTCTTTGATTTCTCCTTCTCCCCCAGCAACACCTGCACCCTTGACCCCCACCCCTGAGACTTCTGGGACCAACCAGACCACAACCATGACTACAGCCAAGAGCCAGACCACAGCCAAGACCACAGCCAAGAGCCAGACCACAGCCAAGACCACAGCCAAGAGCCAGACCACAACCATGACCACAGCCAAGACCACAGCCAGAAGCCTGGCCGTCAACGCCCTCGGCAGCCCCCTCGCAGGCGCCCTCCATATCCTGCTTGTTTTTCTCATCAGCAAACTCCTCTTCTAGAGGAGACGGAGGAAGCCGATCTTTGACCTACAGAACATCCTCCCAAAGCTAACTCCAGGCCAGTGCTTAGCCGTGTGAATGAAGATTTTTTTTATGTCCTCAGTGTGCAGCTCCACCACCTCGGACCACAGACATGTGAACGAATTAGTGCATTTGAGCAACACAGACGTTTGCCAGGATCTTTCAGGGCACACATTCTGCTTTTTGTAAATACTTAGGCCAGTCTAGTTGTAACCTGGAGTTCTGACTCTCAGTTTTACATGCTGACAGCCAATCTGAACTTCCGTTTATTGCCAAAGGATTCCCATGAGCCTCCTGGGTTGGGGGGTGGGAGGGGGATCCTTCTTTACTTTCAAGATGATTTCAGATTTCTGGCCAAATCTACTCAGGTTACAAAGAACTTCTGTGACTTGCATGACTAAAGGGAAAAAGGAGAAATGAGTGACAGTCTCGTGGCTCTTAGCAGATCCCCTTTGTGCCCAGACCAGCAGGTTTTGAGGAGCAGAAGTATATGAAAACTATGTCTGAGGAGCCAATGACGGGACACATGATTTTTTTTTCCCCTAAGTCAAATAAACAATATGTTGAACAAGAATAATAAATGTGTTAAATCGAAAGATAAGCTTTAAATGAGTGATAAAAATACAAAGTGTTACCCAAATTTGTTTCTAAAACTACCAATGAAATTTTGTGTGTGTGTGTGTGTGTGTGTGTGTGTGTGTGTGTGTGTGTGTGTGTGTGTGCGTGCTCAAGGACAGATACAAGGTTAATTTAATCTCAATTTGGTCAAGTAGTCAAAACTGGTTACTTCTTCCTTGATGGTAATATCAACCAAGAAATGAACAAAAAAAAAAAAACCCTTGTAATATTTATAATCCAATGTGAAACAAAAATATTTCTAGCAGTAAGCCTGTAATAAGAAATAAAGTTTTCCTTTAATAATTGCTGTCTTATACATTCCAGGACCACCTACCCAGGGGTGGCACACACACACACACCCCGGCCCCGCCCCGCATCAATCATTAATCAAGAAAATGTTCCACAGAGTTGTAAGCACACAGGCCAATCTGATGGAGGCATTTTTCTCAGTTTAAGTTCTCTCTTCCCAGATGACCCTGCCTGGGTCAAGTTGACAGAAAACTAACCAACACACAAGATGAAGAGATTCCCTCGTAACATTATCATCGTCTGTGTGCCGATTCTGTTAGCTGCTTTCACAAACACCGCATGAGCGAGTGTCACAAAAATGTGCTAGCCAGGAAACTGCCTGGTGGTTCCGTACATTTTTGAAGATAAGAAGATTGAGGGGTCAGAGAATGTCCGAAAGCAGCCCTGGTCACAGAGAAAAGCAGCACTCCCCAGTAACCCCGGCCAGCACTCAGCAGGCAGAGGCCAGAGGACTACTGGTAAATTCAGGGCCAGTCTGGTCTAGGAAGTTCAAGGACGGTCAGAAGGGAGGGAGGCAGGACAGGAGAGAGCGGTCACTGAGCTGGTGAAAGGCAGGACAAAGTTCTGAGTCGGCCCTGCCCGGTAACTGGCTGAGACGCAAAATAAAACCACCCCTGCTTCACTGAGGGTGTAATGAGCACAGTGCTTCACTGAGGGTGTAATGGCCACAGTGCTGTTCCTAGGGGCCATGACTACGGCGGTGTCAACTGTAGCCGTGATCATGACCCATCTTTGAATCTCCTGCAGTTCGTCCTTTGGTGAATGGAGATGGACATTCGTGTCTTTCACCAGCTCTGGTAGTTTCCAATCCTTATCTCTGCTCTTCCAGCTTCCTCCTCTCCTCCAGGAGTGCGTCTGCGTCCTACAGACCTCTCATTTTCTTCTTTTTCTTCCTGCTCCTCAGACTAGATCGGTTCAACTGAGCTGTCTTCAAATTCGCCACTTCTCCTGCCTCTTCAAGTCTGGGGCTGAACCTTGAAATTTTTATTTTACCTATTACACTTTTTAGCTCCAGAATTTCTATTTCGCTTCTTACTATAATTTCTCTCTGCCCACCAATATTCTCCATTCAGAAATAATTTCCCTGATTTTAGTTTTTTGTCACGATTTCTTTTTCCACTTTCAGTGTTTTTAAATCGTTCACTTCAAGTCTTTGCTTCTTCGGCCCAATGGCTGGGCTTTCTTGGGAACAATGTCCGCCTTTCTTTCTCCTTTGAATTGACCGTACCTTTTGGTTCTTTGTATCTTTTTTAATTTTTGTTGAAAACTGGGTATTCTAAATACTACAATGTGGCGGCCCTGCAGACCTGATTCTCTGACAGGTACAACCAGCCTTTGCTATTGTTGACTTTATATCTGCAAACAGCATTCCTTGTGTGGTCACTGAATATCTGTCCTGACCTCTCAGCAGTTAACCAGGGACCTTTCATATTTTGTTAAATACCAGCATCTTTGCCCTGGGTTTTTGTTTGTTCTGTTTTGTTTGGAGTAGATTGCAGAAGTCTAAACATTTTAACAGGTGTTGCCATCTTCCAGTCACTCTGATGGAGAGAACACAACACTAGGAACCTTTTATTCATTGGTTTTCTCTTACTGGTGACACCTGCTAGCCTGTGCTAAGCACTGTACATGAATCATCTCATTTAATCCTTACACTAGCTCTATGAAAGTGGGTCATTTGACAGATGGAGACACACAGCTAAAGAGGAAAATTAAAAGCTCAGGATGGAGGTTCAACTCTATATTTCCAGCACTGCAGAGACTAAATCAAGAGGATTGCTATGAATTGGAGGCCAGTGTAGGCTACATGGAGCACCCTGGACTATAGTGCAAAACCGTGTCTCAAAACAAAAAAGAAAGAAAGGAAGGAAGGAAGGAAGGAAGGAAGGAAGGAAGGAAGGAAGGGAGAGAGAGAGAGAGAGAGAGAGAGAGAGAGAGAGAGAGAGAAAGAA